AAGTACTTATTAGATACACTCCCTAACTCAGTGATTATTGTTGATTATTATAAAAAATTTTAAATGCAATTTAAAGTATTCACAAAATCCAAACTGACAATAAAGTATTATTCTGACATGGAGAATAATAAACACCGTCACAGCAGCAAATTATTTTAATATTTTTCATGTTCTGCTGACTGAAATTTTGATGGTGTTTAGTGTAGAAACAGAATGTACACCTTTTTCAACAAAAATTTTTTATAAATATAACTTGTAAATGTAGTTTAGTATTTTCCACTTCTTACTTTAACTCCACTGTTAGTCTATAATAATTTAAAAATTATAATAATTTTTTGTTAGACTAACTGTTAGTCTAGCATGAAATTATTTAAAAACAATAAAAAATAAAAAACACTTTACTTATATTTAAAATAGCTTCTATAAAATTAACAGTCTGTCAAGAATCAATGCATTAACTACAAAACAGAATATGTTTTATTAAGGAAAACATAAAAAAATTAAACTTTAGTAACTTTAAAAACAGATTAAAAAATTAAAAATTACATTCTATTTATAAATAAAAGTTTATTCAAAAATTATATCACTTATGATAATTATGTTGTAAATTTCACACATATGTTTTATCTAATGGTAATTGTATTAACATGTAGCCCAAAATGTTTATAATTTTCTACAAAGGAAACAACAAAATCTAATTTAATGAAAATGTGCATGCAAACTATGGTTTTATGTACTAAGTTGAGGCGGCTAAGAAAACTTATACAAATGAAGTTAAAAATTAAGAATATTTAGTTTATTTAGTTCTTAACATAATGTTTTAACTTTTTATTATGGTTATTTAGTTAGATTATTGTAGTTTATATAAAGTTAATGTTATACTATGTGTTTATAATATAAAATTGATGATACTTGTTTAATATTTAGAGTTTATATAAAAATAAAAAGTAAAAAAGTGCAGGTAAAACTGCATTTTTTAATTGAAACAAGGCGTATTTATTTTTAATGTTGTCGGCGTTGTTTTCTATGCAGAATTAAATTAAATTGATGAAAATTGTTATTAGTGTCCTATATGGTACTAATAACAATTTAATACTAACTAGTAATAATAAATAAACTTTTTCATCTAAGAGACTGTTTTTGGGATCAATTTTTTAATGATTTAATTAGCTCAGCCAATTGTGTGCCTTTTGGTTGAAATGTAATAAATCATGAATTTTCAAATAAATATGGATATGATGTGATTCAGTTGTAAAACATTGTGAACTTGTATTTGTAAAATAAAAAAGGGTTATGTAAGTTATATGATGAAGAAATATGCTTAAAAAAAACATTACATTACATAATTACAAGTAAATTTAATGGTTTAATGAAAAAAAAAAAAACATGTTTAAATCTATACATTTATACATTTAAAGAAGAAAAAAAACTTTGAGTAAAGTCCGTGAAAGTTATAAAATATTTGAGGTAAAGTTCAAGAGTTGTTAAAGTAACGTTTGCAGTGAATGTTATGTCAAAGTTAGCTGTTTGTTATTTGAACATTTGCAGTGAATGTTTAAGAGCTGTAAATCAGAGTTCACAGAAGTTGGTTTAAATAAGGTTGGCGACATATGTCAGGCCTTGCGATGAATAAGAGCTGCGCGACGCATAAGCACGACGTGATTTTTGACGTCATTAAATTCTTTTTATTTGCTTTTCACGTTTTGTCTATACTAAACGAATAAAAAACATTATAACTTAAATTTAAAAAAGATTATAAAATATGCTAATATTTGATTTTTTTTTTTCTTAAATATGTAATTTAAAGTTTTTCAAATAATTATTTTTTCTTTTTAAAAAGTCAGCGAGTAATAAACTGGAAATTTTAATATTGTACGATTAAAAACTGTGCAATAGCTAATATTTTTACAAGCGATTTTATATAATATTTATTTATTTATTTTTATTTATTTTCATAAAGCGGTTGATAAGCACAATCACTCGTATTAATAAAAAACTTAAACGAACGTTTTGAATAGATTTTTAATGTTAACAAGGAATTTTATTTCTAGTAAAATAAAATAAAATGTTAGAATAAAAATCTTATAGGTATAAAAGAAATATTTTAGCGAAAAAATTATTCTTAAAAATTATTCGAAAAACTATTGACTTTCTATTTTTCAGCAGCTGTTCTTGAGCACGCTTCGTTGAGTTTCGGTAACTTTTAACATAAAAGCGATCGTTATTATTTAGTATAAGTAATTTTTTTGAGTTACTTTTTACAAAAATTTTAATAACTGTACTTTTTCATTGAATCAAGTCGAATACGTTTTAATATTAATCTTTTTTTTTTTTTATTTGCCCTCAGCAATTTTTAAAATGTTTCCTCGAAATCACTCTTAAATACTTTAAATACGTCTAACAGTTAATAAATATTTTTAAATCTATGGAATAATTTTAAAACCTATCAAACCCCTGTAAAATAATTATTTAAGTTTAAAATCTAAAACTAAAAGAAAGTATTTTTGTTCAATTTTATCGACAACGTTGCTATTGCTGAATAATTTTATTAAAATGTTAGCTTAAAAGATTTAAACTTTTTTTTTTAATTTTTGAGTTTTTTCTACTTGAAAATAATGAGCATATTTAATTTTTTTAAATTCAAACTTTTATTTCAACTGCATGCGGTTTTTAAAATACTTTATTAAATGTTAAAATAATCGTCAATTACTTCATTAAAATTCCGCTCAAAAATATCTTTAAATATACTCAAACAAAAAATTTTTTGCTTGACGCAAGTAGCCCTAGCTACACGCAAAATCGCCCTTGGACGACGTAAAATTCACATCGCCCGACGCTTTATCGCAAGGCCTGATATGTTATACAAACCTAATCACATTTATTAAACATTAACTGTAAGCCGGAATTAAACAATTTTCTATCACTTTTACGGGACATTCATAAAACGAGCTTGAATTTATTTTTCAGAAGCTGGCTTATTTGAAACTAGTCAACAAACATTTAAATTTAAAGACGAAATTACATTTTCAGGTACAATTCTTGCTGCCTTATGTTTGGTAAAAATTCTTGGTATTACTTTAGTTTTAACACTCTTTGTACCAGCACATAAAAAATGTTGTAAAATCCTGAAACTACCATATTCGCGCACTTCATTATAGTATTTATATGTTTATTATTATTTGTTCAATTAATTTTGCAGCAAAAGTGCTGCAAATATATATATATATATATATATATATATATATATATATATATATATATATATATATATATATATATATATATATATATATATATATATATATATATATATATATATATATATATATATGGCCTTGTTAAGAATCGTTATGCAGCTCGCATTTTACCTGCGAAAAGGCAGTTTGCCTACGTGTTCAGCAGTTTTGCGTTACGCAAAACCTTTAATCTTTTAGAATATTTAAATTTTCATTTAATATTGTTTATGTGACGTTTATTCAGAGTATAAAATAAAGTCGTAAGTAAAAGCATTTAACCGCAATTGTAAACTAATAGATTTTTTGTTAAAGAAAAAATTTTTTAATTATTTTTATTGTTGTTGTTAAAAATTAGTTTAAAAAAAATAAGTGTTTTAAGTTTAAACTTTTCATCATATTTAATATTAAGTTTTATATTTCATAAGTTTAAAAACATTCAAATTAAAAAAAAAAAAATTTCAATTTATTTTATTAAATTTAAATATTTTTTTATTTTAAAAACAAAACTAGTACTAGAGCTATAAATATAAGATACATAAATTTCAAAATTATAATGATATTTCTTAAAAACAAATTCTGCTTATAACATCTTAAAACTGAAAAGACTATATATTATTTTTGGATTGAGTAAAAAAATATTAGGTTTCACTGTACATAAAAATAAAATATTTTAATGGAAATGAAAAAAAAAAAAAAAGCCGAAAAAGCAGTCAACATTTAATTTATAGTGCAAACAATTTTTTAAAAGGGGAAAACCCAGTCTATGCGTTTAGTTATAAGTACATTTAAATCCCTTTGAGAAAATCATCCATAAACAAGTGTTAAATTTAAATTATTTAAAAAAAAAATATTTAAAAAAAACAACTATGAAACAAATATTTAAAAGCAAAAAAATTAAGTTTAAATAAGTATAAGATTTTAATACAAGACTTTTTTTTAATCAACATTAAAATTTTTTTTTTTTTCAACAACATTGTTCAATTTAAAACTATTTCGTTTCAAAGACTAACAATAGTTTTTTATGTCGTTTTAAATTTAATTACAATGAAGTAAAAACTCAACTGACGTAGTTTAACTTTTAACAATGTAAATATCTTTATTGAGTAAAGTTACATTTATTCGCGTTTCGCTTTTCCGATACTCAGCGAAATCTCGTAACAAGGCCTGATATATATATATATATATATATATATATATATATATATATATATATATATATATATATATATATATATATATATATATATATATATACAATATATATATATATATATACATATATATATATATATATATATATATATATATATATATATATATATATATATATATATATACATATATACATATATATATATGTATATATATATATATATATATATATATATATAATATATATATATATATATACATATATATATATATATATATATATATATATATATATATATATATATATATATATATATATATACAGCGCTCGAAATAACAGCCGATCAACGATCAATGATCGGCTATTTTTAGGGAAATTTAGAAAATTTCAAGGGAAAATAAGCTGTTTTTGTCAAAAAATTACATTTGATTGGCAAGTTTTGAAAAACTATTTCGAGCGCTGTATATATATATATATATATATATATATATATATATATATATATATATATATATATATATATATATATATATATATATATATATATATATATATATATATATATATATATATATATATATATAAAAATCATATTTTGCTTTGTTTTTTAGTATAAATGGATGAAGTCCTTCAAAATCCAGTATTTCAAATTAAGTTGTCTGAACTACTTGGCCAGGATTGGTTTAAGATTGGTATTTACTTAAATATCGAACAGCGTAGTTTAGAATCAATTAAGAGTGATTCTATAAATTTTTCAAAACAAGAATGCAAAGCATACGAAATGTTAAAAAAATGGTTCAATTTTGATGAAAAACCGACATTTGAAAAGTTAAAACTTGCCATTTTAAATATTCCAAAAATGGATTTATTGAAGGAGGTGGAGGATCTTGCAAGTACACATTTTTTAAGTTATTATTTGTATTATATAATATTTTCAGATTTGTCACTCTTATTATATGTTTATTTTTTTGCTATTATTTTAACTTCCTCATCAAACTCTCTGCTTACAGAAAATTTTAATGACGATGATGATTATAATGATGATGATGATGATGATGATGATGATGATGATGATGATGATGATGATGATGATGATGATGATGATGATGATGATGATGACAATAATGATTACAGATATTGGGTATATTAGGGTAATATGAGCACCTTAAGCAAAAATTGGAATATTTTCAGAAATAAGTAAGCTGGATCCAATATTTTTGCGAATAAACAATTTTTAGGGATCCCTTTTTATGATCTACTTATTATTTTAGCACCCAAAATTTTTTTCAAAAAACACAGGTTTTAAAAATGTAACAAGAGAGCTCATATTACCACTTGGTAATTTGAGCACTTTAAATTATTTTTTTACTTATTTTAAATGTTACTTTTTTTTAAAAAAAAAACAAGTAACATTTAAAATAAGTAAAAAAATACCAACCTGACAAGTTGAACTAATTTTCGGAATATAATGATTTGTTATTAATAAAACTTATTATTTAAAGATCAAATTGTAAGCCACTTTTTATTAAAATGGTACAGGTATGTTTTCCGCAAAAAAAAAATTAGTAAATAATTTTTTCAATTTTATTAACTCAAACCTTGAAATGAAAATTTCAAATATTTTGAATTTAAATTACAGAAAAGTATTTAGTATTGTTAAAATATTAAAATTTTTTGTTGTTTTGTTTTTATTTAAAAAGCAATTAAAACCATTACTATTTTAGGAATTTAAACTAGGTAATTTCAATGAAAAACACTGGATAATTTGAGCATGCTCATATTACACAAAAAATGTCATCTTTAAATAAAGTCAAAACTAAAAGTTTCTACCTATTGTTTTTCAAACAAAAATGAATTTGATTTTTAGCTAACATATTTTTCTTTATAAAAAAATTAATTTCATTATTTCAACACCAAAATTTCACACCACAGATTTATTCAAAAAAAAAAAAAAATTATTATTATAGTTGTAGATGAAAATGATAATGATTTTAATGGTAATTTTTTAATAAATTATTTTATTTTAATATTATTTTTAACTTTTGAATAATGTTATAAACCAATTCAAATGTATTTCTGTTTATTTAACCAGGTAGGTTTTTCACTATGTCTTCATATTTATCAGAAGGTGCTTCGAAAACAGGTATTTTTTAATTAAATGGTGGTAAATAAAGAAAACAAACAATGAAAATAATAATAATTCTCTGATTGCGAATGAGAATTTAATAGCAGCATAATTTGTTTTCGGATAAATAAAACTTTTATTTAAAAATCGTGTTGGGGTATAAATAATTTTTTATTTTTTAATGTTAAATACTTTTTACAGTATATTTTTGTTTAATTAGCAGCATATTATTTTTTAATATATTAGTGCTGTACTAAGCGACGTTAGCGTAAATTAAGTATCAATTAATATAAAAAAAGTAAATGGGTTTTGAATATGTTTTGTTAAACAACTGTATAGGAGGGCAATATTTTTTGATATTTTATTTTGGATTTAATGCATGTGGGCCTTCCACTTTGCTTATTCATTCAAAAATTTTATATTTCAAATATAAGAAATAATGCTCTAAAAATTTAGTATGTATTATTTATAGTTAGTTTATAATTATTTTCTTGTGTTGTGTTTTTGGAAGCAACTGTTGTTAAATGTCTAGATTAGAATTGAATTAAGAAATGTCTAGATTAGATTTCATAAATATTGTTTATAAGAATTAATAAATGTCTAGATTAGGTTAACAAATTATTAGTATATTTGTCAGATTTACAAACACATATTTTATATTCTTATATTTAAAATATTGCTGCAACAAATAGCAACAAGCATATATTCTGTTTAGTATCCGCAAAAATACTTATATTAAGGAAAAACTAGGTAAATTTACCTTAAAATATTGGCAGACACAGTGGTAATATTGAGGTATGCAAAAAAAGAATTTTTTACCTTGATCATGATTTTTGTTGTGATTACTACTTGGAAGTGGAAACAGTTGTTAGAAATTAATCAAATTAACTTTTAAGAAAGTAATTTATTAAATTACAACTTTTAAAAGCTTTCAAATCAAACTTTAAAACTTCCTATTTTCAAATCGCAAAGCCGCCATTTTAACTTACTGTTGGAATAATTATAATGAAAACACAATGTAACACTATTTAAAACTATTTCCGACTTTTTTCAGATTGTCTGACAAACCTCTTTGTATAAATGGTTTGTCAGACAATTTGAATGTTTAAAGACCGTCTTCATTATGTTCCCCAATGGGTAAAATAATTGAATAAAATACAAGTAGATGACTACAATGAAATAAATGAATAACGTTTCAAAGTTGAGGTGTATTGCTAAGTAAAGGACATAATGATTAATCAATTAATCATTTAATTTGAATCTATTCAAAAACTATGTACACTTTTTAAGTGCCTACATATCTACATATCTTGTAGCATTTGAAAATATCATTTGATATCCTGGAGGAGCCGGAGGTATAACAATCGGCATACCCCTCCGATATTTCATCTAGTTTTTGACCACAACTGCTACAAATTAAAGTTTCTTTCTATGATCAATTGAAAGAATTTGTTTTATAACCTAAATTGCTACTTTTAACTCAAACCACAGCCTCAAGTAGTTTTGCCGACATTATTGCAGCATGCCTCATTTTTTAACTTTACCGATAAAGACATCTACAGCAGAACAAAGTTTTTCAAAACTGAAATTAATATAAAAACATTTAAGAAACAGCATGTCACAACAATGTCTTAGCTCTTTGTCACTATACCAATTGAGAAAGCAATTCGTTGTCAAGTTGGTTTGGATAAAGTGATTAATAAATTTACAAAAGATAAGGTAGAAAAATAAAACAATTTTAAACTATGTGCAAGAAATTAGAAATGTCAACATATTTTAAATAAGTTTAATTTTAAATAAGTTTAATTTTAAATAAATTTTTATTTCTATAAAAGTATATTTTGGACAATAAAATGTTTATTTTATTCACCAGATTAAAAACACCAACAGGGCCATCCCAAAGAGGTCTTCCATGGGGGAGGAGAGAGTATTGTTTTTTTTTTTTGCCAACTAGAGACACCAAAAAAAAAAGGATTGTAATTTATTGCAATTTGCCAACTATAGTTCAAAATTTGCTCAAAATGCCAACTCAAATGCTTAAATGACAACTTTGGGGGGGGGGGGGAGAGGGGTAGGACACCTTACCTATATATACCCCCCTCTCATTTTTTTGGTGTTTGGGACGGCCCTGAACACCAATAAGATGACTAATTGCATTGCTTTTTCCAAAGAAAGACATTTCTACTGGATTATTAGTATCAGGATTGCCAACTATACCCATTAGACATTAGGAACATATGAGTTTTTATATTTAACTTTTCTCAACTAACATCGAGAAAAGAGGAGGTGCACCAATTTTACTTGCTTTAAGCGCTAAATATGTAGCTATGCCACTAACTTTATATATATATATATATATATATATATATATATTATATATATTTTTTTCCTCAGTACATAGAGCCTAACTCAAAGTTACATCCTGTTATGATTTCGAACGGAAAAACCAAAAAAGTCTCGCATTGTACTTTTTATAAAAATATAACTGATAATCAATGAGCCATCGATTGTGATCTTTGTAGCTCATGGGTCCATTCAAAGTGTAACCATATTGATACACACACATAGAAAAGATTTTTCTAATGGGTGATTTTAATATGGATCTATTAATTCACAATAAATTTAACCCTGTTTCTACATATTTTGATTCTTTAACATATGACTCACTAACCCCTTCTATAATTTACCATCATGCATAACAGCTACATCGAAAACACTAATTGAAAACATATAGTCATGTCAACATATTCACGAACTTCCATTCATCTGATCAATTCTCAGATAACCTTACGATTTAAATTTCAGACCACATGACCATTTTTATAAAAAGTATTTAGCATTTAAAAATCTAACCATCTGAGGAAAAATCTGAGGGAAAAAGTCCCTGGTGGCTGTGGTGTTAATTAAATATATATATATATATATATATATATATATATATATATATAATATATATATATATATATATATATATATATATGTTATTTTATCTAGTAAGACAAAATATCATAGTCAAGTTATGTATGCATCAAATAAAGCAAATAAAATACTTGGAATGTTAAGCAGGACTTTCACCTATATGGATGGCAAACTTCTTAAAACATTGTTTACAGCGTTTGTGAGCAATACCGGCGTGGAACCTTTACCAAAAAAATGACATTATTCTAATTGAACAAGTACAACACCGAGCAACTCGTTTGATTCCATCACTCAGAAAATTAAATTACAAAAAAAGATTAAAAATTATGGGTATTCAATCTCTTGTTGACCGTACAGTTCGAGGTGACTTAATAAAATGTTTTAAAAATGATAAATGGCTACGATATTGTAAATTTGTATAACGTAAATTCGCTCTCTTATCCAAGAAATTTTAATCAAAGTCAAACGCGAGGTCATAACTTTAAGCTAGTTAGAGAGTTAGTTAAAAACAATGAACAGCGTCATCAGTTTTTTACAAATCGTGTGGATAACACTTGGAATAAATTGCCTAAAAACATCAGTGCCACAACTGTATATAGTTTCAAAGCAAGATTGGATAAATTTTTTGAATCAGAAAACCTTGAAGATGATTAATGATGAAATTGGCTTTATTCCCATTTAATTAACTTAATTCAAAATAATTTTTAAATTTTTATGTAGGCCACAACCAGAATTGGTTACACAAGCTTGTTGCGGTACAATAAATAACAATAATAAATAAATATATATATATATATATATATATATATATATATATATATATATATATATATATATATATATAAAAGATTAAAAAGTTCTAGCTTTATAAAAATTTTCTGCCAAAGTAGGTAGATAAATAGTAGATAAAAAGTAGATAAATAATAACCTGTAGAACTCATAAAATTTTTCTTCGTTGAATTGATCGAATTTTAATGACATGCAGAGCGTGGAATTTTTAGATTAAATAATAGCCCGTAAATATCATATTGCGTTTGATTTAACCCCCTTTAAATAAGTAAAAGTTTTATATATAGCTATTCTAAGAAAATCCATCTTTTTTTACTACCATCTTACTAAACCTATCTGCAGTACTTTTTTACTCTCAGCATTTAAAGAATCTTTTTCCTGTGTACCTTTTAACTAAACAAATATGAATATATGTAAATATTTGTGAAAATTATTTGTTCAAATTTTATTTGAAAAATTTGATCAGACAATGTCTTTTGTCCAGGACCTTATAAAAAATTAAATTAAGCCCTGATCATGCACCGCAAGATGGAAGAGGAAAGCATAACAACAGGATACACTGGTGTGTGGCCACATATCATCTTTCCAATGCAGACACAGTCACTATGCAATGGGGGAGTCAAGAGAGTTGTACCTTCCAGATACCTTGAATGTTGCTAAAATACATCTGATGTTTGTGTCAGTTCATCCTGTAACCAAGGTTCATGTATGTTTTTATGTCAGTGATAGTCAAATAGAGGATATTTTGAAGCTGCTATATATATGCGTGCACGAATTCTAATTTTTACTTGCAACTAAATTTACATATCAAATCCATCACAGCATCTGTTGGATTTGACTTTTTTGTATTTTATTTTAATTTTATTTATTTATATTATCAGGGCATATTATTACAAAATTTTGCTGCTTGCCAAACAATGTAAGCTTTTCTAAAAACTCTCATTAAATGATGTTAAAAATAAAGAAATCAAATTAATTAAAGTCTCAAAGACTTGAATTAATTTGATTTCTTTATTTTTACATTATTTAAAGATTAATTACAAATAAATAAGATATAATCAATTTTGGGTAGATAATATAAAGACTATTAAATGACACAATAAATGTAATAATTTATAAAAATAAATTTAAGTTGACAATCTGAAATCTTTCTTCAAATTTTTTTTCTTTTCAAACACCTTTTTTTCAGAGCTAATGAATCTATAAAACGTTTAAAACTCTGTAAGCTGCGCTTGTGAATATACATTGATACCCATTGATTTTGTCTTTCACATCATGATGCAATGTCAACATAAAAATCATTAAAGAGA